AGTCCCCACGAAGTCTTCATTAGTACTTCTGGGGTGCATCTGAAGTAGCTGCCCTATTGCTTTCCCCATGAGGATGCAGGGAGAGAGCCAGGCTCCTTTGCTTACCCACAGGGAATCTTTTCTTTATTACATTTTAAAAACCCCACCCTTTCCCCAAGGAGCTCAGAGCACCTAGCACGGTCCTCTTTCATTTGGCGTGGCGACAACCTTATGAAGTAAGTTAGGTCCAGTTAGAAGGACTGACCCAAGATCGTCTAGTCTGTGAGCTTCACGGGTGGGTAAGGATTTGAACGTGGGTCTCTGAGGTCTCCCAACGACAGCTTTCCTTCTAATACAGAAGCTCAGACTGTGTCCCTCTCCTTTTAGAGCCAGTTTGGTGTAGTGGTTAAGTGTGCGGACTCTAATCTGGGAGAACCGGGTTTGATCCCCCACTCCTCCACTTGCACCTGCTGATGTGACCTTGGGTCAGTCACAAGCTCTGGCACAGCTGTCCTTGAAAAAGAGCCGTTTGTGTCAGAGCTCTCTCAGCCCCACCCACCTCACAGGGTGTCTGTTGTGGGGAGGGGAAGGGAAAGGAGTTTGTAAGCCGCTCTGAGACTCCAAGTGAAGGGCGGGGTATAAATCCAATCTCCTCTTCTCTTCTTCTTTTACCTTACCTTGTTTCAATTCATGATTGTTTTAAACAGAGGGCCATCCTTGTCCCTGGTTGCTCTGCAGAGGAAAATATATATTTCATTTATTAATTCATTTCGAAGACTGAAAGGCAGCTTATAACTAAAAACACAGTAATATAAAAACGCATAAAACAAATTAAGTCCCAGAACTAAAATGCATATACACACACAGGTATGTCAATTAGAAACACAGGTATCAGTTTAAAACAAGGGGCAGCCTCTGCCCGGGGTCATGTCACACAATAAACTGGGGTGGGGGATCTCTGCCAGCAGCCCAAAGCGGTTTGCCTAACTCTTGATTTAACCCGATCTGATTGCATTAACAAGGCGGCAGTGTCTGGATGTGTTTGAACAATGGCATCAATCATACCGTGATTCCGAAGCTGAATGAAGTGTGGGTCCAGTGAGGTCTGTAATCAGATCCTCTAAAGCAACTGATTGAATTAACAACCCCCCTCCCAGAGAGGGCAAAACACAAATGCATCACTGGAAGAATCTGCCCATTTCCTTTATCAATGCCCCCAAATTCACACTCAGATTAATCTAATGTCCCTAATTTGCTTTATTTTAAAATTAATTTTAATCCCACTCAAACTTTGTTTTAGCTAATATGTTTAGTCAATATTCACAGGTTTTCGTCCAACAGTGGGAAGAAGTTTTGTTATTTTTTTTTAAGGTGTCACTGGGATCCTGTTTTGTTTTCCCAGTTGCCTGCCCTTTTAACAGAGGCTTAATGCATGGGGGTAGTTGAAGCTTTTCATGGCAGGGAAGTAACTAACATCCTAATAAATCTCTATTAAAGGCACAGGATCTTTGTCTCTGGACCAGCTGGTAACCATGTGTTTTGCTGCAACAGTCTTGACATGGCTGGCCTTTGGAATAACAGGAGTCCAGAGGGTTTTCCTTAGAAGGGGGGGGAAAGGCATTTTTTTTTCTAAACTCCCCCTCCCTTCAACTGGGTCTAGGTGTGCCCACTGAAAGTTGGGTGGAACATCTCTTTTTTGCTTAATTTATTCAAGTTTGCATCACATTTTATGAAGCTTGTATAAAGGTACTTCCTTTAAGGCTGCGAGAGTTGGACTATAAGGAAGGCCAAGCGCCGAAGAATAGATTCTTTTGAATTATGGTGCTGGAGAAGACTCTTGAGAGTCCCTTGGACTGCAAGAAGATCAAATCAGTCAATCCTAAAAGAAATCAACCCTGACTGTTCCCTGGAAGGCCAGATAATGAAACTGAAACTCAAATACTTTGGCCACCAAATGAGAAGGGAGCACTCACTGGAGAAGACCCTGATGCTGGGAAAGATTGAAGGCCAAGGAAGACGGGGACGGCAAAGGATGAGATGGTTGGACAGTGTCATCATCGACGCAACGAACATGAAATTGAGCCAACTTCAGAGGATGGCGGAAGACAGGAGGGCCTGGCGGCAGATGGTCCATGGGGTCGCGAAGAGTCGGACTCGACTGTGCGACTGAACAACAACAAGAGAAATTAGTAAATAGAAGGGGAAGTTGTGGAGGCAGTGACAGACTTCACATCCCTGGGATCCAAGATCAATGCAAATGGTGACTGCAGCCATGAAATTAAGACGCCTGCTCCTTGGGAGGAAAGCAGTGGCAAACCTAGACAGCATAACAGAAAGTAGAGACATCAGTGATCACCCTGCCAACAAAAGTCCGCATGGTCAAAGCAATGGTATTCCCAGTAGTTATGTATGGCTGCGAGAGCTGGACTATAAGGAAGGCCGAGTGCCGAAGAATAGATGCTTTCGAATTATGGTGCTGGAGAAGACTCTTGAGAGACCCCTGGACTGCAAGGAGAACAAATCAGTCATTCCTAAAGGAAATCAACCCTGACTGTTCCCTGGAAGGCCAGATATTGGCCACCAAATGGGAAGGGAGCACTCACTGGAGAAGACCCTGATGCTGGGAAAGTAGTTGTGGAAGTTAAGAGCTATCCATCTTGGCCCAATCTGTTTGTAAATTTTTATTGTGTTTTATTGTAATTTATTGTTTTAAATTATGTATCACTGTTTTAACCTTGGCACATGGTGCCCTTGTGAGCCGCCCTGAGCCTTCGGGATAGGGCAGGATATAAATTCAAATATAAATAAATAAATAAATAAATGAAGATGAAAGAAGAAGGGGACGGCAAAGGATGAGATGGCTAAACAGTGTTATTGATGCAACGAACATTAAATTGAGCAAATTCCAGAGGATGATGGAAGACAGGAGGGCCTGGCGTGATGTGGTCCATGGGGTCGCGAAGAGTCAGACTCGACTGTACGACTGAACAACAAAGAGAAATTAGAGTGCTGGAATAGGATGAAGAAGAAAAGTAGGTTTTTATACCCCCATTTCCTGTACTCTAAGGAGTCTCAATGCAGCTTACAGTAGCCTCTCTTCCTCTCCCCACAACCGGCACCTTGTGAGGCAGGTGGGGCTAAGAAAGTTCTGAGGGAACTGTGACTGGCCCAAGGTTACCCAGCAGGCTTCATGTGGAGGAGGAGAGGGGAATCAAACCTGGTTCTCCAGTTTAGAGTCCAGCACTCTTAAGCACTACACCACACTGGATGGAGGAGGCCTGGATTCAAATCTCCCACTGAGCATGAAATGTACTGGTTGACCGTGGCCAGTTGTTCTGCTCCCGCCTAACCTACCTCACAAGGTTAGTGTGTGGATAAAAACAATGAAGGGAGGAACCGCCTCTGCAACCTCAGAAGAGCCCTGCTGGATCAGACCATCTAGTCCAGTACTCTGTTCACACAGCAGCCAATCAGCTGCCTTTAGGAAGCCCACAAACACCCCCAGCTGTTTTCAGGAGGAAGGGTGGGATAAAATGGCTCTAAAGCAGGGTGACCATATTTCCCGACTGCCTACTTCAAACAAGTGATCACTAGGACCAGGGGTCATTTCATAGAAAAAGAGGTGCAGGAGCTCATTAGCATAACTTATTTGCATATGCCACACCCCCTGACATCACTGGAAAAATCCCTGGAAGTGTGTCAGAAGGCAACCCCCACCGCTCAGGCTCCACTGACTGTTTTGGATTGCTAGCTATGGGGGGGGGGGACGTGCAGATCTGTCCTCATAGAGGAGGGAGAGCTTGTACCTGAATAAAACTTGGTCTTAAAGGTGCCACTGGACTGTCTTGGACCAGGGGGCTGAAAGGAGCTCTGCAGCTTACCTGGCTGCTTCTTGCTCTGACTGAGGGCTGCTGGGAGCAGTGGGTGGGGCTCCTGCAGGAAATGACCCCTGACTAGGACAGATCTCATTTTAAATACACCTATTTAAGCTGTGATAATTGCTGCTAACAAGGAATATTCCTGACCTTCCAACCCAAAAAAGAGGACATTTTCATCAGTTTTTTTTTTTTTAAAAAAGAGCCCAAATGAGGACGGACACCAAAAAGAGGGAGGACATTTCTAAAGAAATACAACGCCCCTGAACAGGTACAGGTCGATTCTACACGCGTGAAAAATTTCTGCACAGAGGAGGAAAAGCAGGCACGAGACTGACGCGCCGCCGTTTCACACGCTGCAGAAAAAAATGCTTAGATGTCAGACCTGTGGCTAGCCACGTGCAACCCGTAAAGCCCAACCCAGGTGACTCTTCCCAAAAACTGCAGTTCCCATGCATGAAAGCTGCAGTTAGCAGGGCCTCGAGCGTGTGTTTTCTCCCCCTCTGAGCTGGTACAAAGTTGTCTCGCCCTATCCATACAACCGCACCAGCCATGAAAGTGAAAAACAGCATCCTCGTTTATTGCCGAAGTCATCTCAATAGACTCGCGACAGAGGGGCAACACCGCCTGGGCCCATCCGCCCCTTCTTTCCCTCCCCTCCCGGGCCCTGGCAATCGCCGATGGCTTCCCATCAAGGTAACGCGTGTAGACCGTTACGCTATACGCGTGCTAGCTGCAAGCAGCGCGTCGTAACGTGTGAGCCTGCTCGTCAGTCTCCTGCCGCCTTTTCCATATGCACGTGTTAGTTAGTTGCAACTCGGAAAGGAAAGTTAGCATTTTTTTTAACAACGTGCGAATGGGGCGCCCGATCCATCACGTGTCTCCTCCTCCTCCCCTCCATCCTCGCTCTTTTCTTCCTTCGCCCCCCCCCCTTCTTACCGCCCTACCTTTCCTGCCTCTTTTGGATCTCTCCCCCCACCCCCTTCCCTTTTTCCCCATCTGGAACAGATTACTCTCTCTGGGAAAGGAACTTTCAGCCGCGCTCAGGAAATTCCAGCCAAGGGTTGGGCTTGCCAGATTTTTGGAGGCAGCGGGGGGCGGCTTCTTCTGCATCACATTTCCCTTTCCGCTCCAGCAGCCGCCCCTTGCCCATCCACGCCGCCTTCTCTCCACCGGCGTCCTCTCGGCGCGAGCAGCCTCCCCGCCGTCCCTTCCTCCGCTCTCCCCCGGTCTCTCTTTAAGAACCGGCCAGGAGGGCGAAGCGGGGACGCCTGGGCGGGGCCTGAGGCACGCCCCTCCCTCCGCCGCGGTTGGCGTGCCAGGAAAAGTGGGAGCGAAGTTTTTAGTGCAACGCGGAGAGGCGCTGGGAGTGGATGGAGTCGCGCTGGAGGGCGAACCGGGAGGAGGAGGGCGGTAAGGAACGGGCGCCGGGGTGGCAGCGATGGGGCAGAGCGGAGGCCGGGGGTCTCGGCATCACCAGGGCGCCGGGGTTCTTTGGGAGGGTCGTGTCGCCTAGTGGGTTGGGACCGGGGCCCTTTTGGATGCGCCGAACCTGGTAGCCGGGATCCCTGGTCCCTTGGGCAGAGGGGGCTCGTGGATTCTCCTGGAAAGGGGCTCAGGGGGAAGCCAGGTTGCGTTCGGTGGGAACTCGCCGGGATTCTCTCCGAAAAGGAGTGTGGCTTCATAGCGGGCTGGGATGGAGAATTTGAGACTACGGAGGCTGTGGCTGTCCGGGATTATCTGGGCGACCCGAAAGAGGAGGGTTTGGGGCCAGTGTTCCCTCTAAGCTGAGTTAGTGTGAGCTGGCTCACAGTTTTTTTAGCCTCCAGCTCACAGATTTTTGTCTTGGCTCAGGAAGGAGGGCTCCAGAGCAAACTGATTGGTGCAGTAGCCAAACAGTTTGCTCACAACTTGAATGCCAGGAGCTCACAAAGTAGGATTTTTGCTCACAAGACTCCACAGCTTAGAGGGAACGTTGGTTTGGGCCCCGTCCTTGGCAGCCAAGGGGAGTTTGAGGGTTCTGTCTCTTGATGGAGCTGCGAGCCAAGAGGATATGGGCAAGAGGGCGTAAGAGCTGATCAGGAACCCGCCAGGAAGACTGACACCCAGTCCGAGAAGAGGAAATAGATAGGAGAGGAGGCAGGGGGAGGCGAACGGGGATCTTCTGTGCCGGTGTGTTTGGGGAAGAGTGTCCACGCCCCTGCAAGGGAACCTGAGTGTGAGCGTCAGGAGAGGGTCTTCCAGCGTCTGCTTCCAGTATCGGAAAGTGAGCAGGGATGTAGGTTGTAGATCTTGGGTATGTAGATTTGAAATGGCCGTGTGGGTGAGCTGGGGAGTGGATCGATGCCACCTAGAAGACTGAGGGTATTGTGTGCACACGAGTGAGTTGTGCAACCCTGCGCACGTGTGGGCAAGCATGTCCAATTAAGGCAAACTGGCAGACCGCCTCATGCTTCTAGAGTAATGTGCTATTGGTGTGCAGATCTCTGGGGTTTTGCTGTAACTTCTTGCATGCCCATGGAGAATAGTCTGATTTTTGTGTGTGCGCTTGGCAGAGCCCATCCGCTTTCCCGGGCGAAACCTGCCCTGTCGGGGCACAGGCCCGCACTGTCCCAGCCGCGCCTTTGAGGATCACATGGCAGGAGGCATGTTCCAAGAGTGTTCCACATCTCCAGGGCAGCAAGAGGGGGCAGGGCCCCATGTTATATAAACCTGGGAGCCGTCACTGGTGTAGGCCTGTGATTGAATTGTATCATGTGATATTTTTTCCCCCTCTTTCCTGCTGGCCTAGTTGATTGATTCCCCACCCCCCCTTTCTGTTTGCTGGTGTGGCCGCTAACTTTGTTTGCTGAAAAGGCAAACTGGTGTCTTGTATGTATATTCAACTGTTTGCATACTTTATTCCTGGCTTACTACCACCGTGAGCTAGACCATGTTCCTTTCCCAGACAAAACAGAGATCCTGTTTCTCAGCCCCCTTCTGCTCTTTGTATATGAACATAAGAAAGGAGCCATTGTTTCGGACTTTTGTTCCCTCTCCTCCAGCATCCTGTTTCCGAGAGTGGAGCCAGATCCCTCTGTGTGCGAAAGGCGACTCCCAGTTGTTTGTCTCCCAGTGTACTAAGGTATATTGCCTCTGAACATGGAGGTTCCATTAGTCCAGCATAGCAAAAAAGCTGTTGATTTGGTTTATACTCACACACGTAGCAGGCATTGTGGTTTAGCAGCATGGCATGCAGTGAAAATATCTCATTTGTTAGCCGTTTAATACTTGAGGAGAGTGTCCCGGAGGAGGGGCACTGTTATTCGAATTTCCCCTCTGCACAGATAAGGCAAGCGGAGGCCGAGAAAATAACTTCTTTTAAGGCATTCAGCAAACCTTTGAGCAAGCCCAGGGCTGAACATGTGACATGGTCCGTGAACACCCTGCATTATAAAGCTACACAAGGAGCGTAAGTGTGATCTTCATGTGAGGCCCCCCCACCGTGACCAGACCTCCCTCCAGAAGGCCTGGCTTCTCTCTCCAGCATCCAGACTCTTCTTGCTCAACCCTCCTCCTGCAGGGCCTTGTCCCCTTTAAGCATCTGGACAAAACGTTGGGTACTGCTGTTTGTTTAGGTACTTCTGCCCAGCTTTCTTTCAATGGGGACCCAGCATCCAGACTCTTCTTGCTCAACCCCCCTCCTGCAGGGCCTTGTTCCCTGTAAGCATCTGGACAAAACGTTGGGTATCCCCAAAAGGTCCCCTTCTCCATTTTACTATTGCAACAGCCCGGTAAGGTAGGCTGGGCTTTGAGAGTGACTGGCCCAACGTTACCCAGCAACCTTCCACGGTAGAGTGGGGATTCGAACCTGGATCTTCAAGATCCCAGTGCTATCTAGATGCCCCTTTTGGTCTGATCTAGCAAGGTGGGGCAGGCTAGCCATTCTTCAGTAGGGAAGTGCCTGGCGTGCGCTTCCGTGGAGGATGAGTGGGAGCGAGTGGAGAAAAGCCGGGCCCCTGCAGTGTTGGCTGTCTCGCGGTCATTGTCATTGCCAAGGGGCTGAGCCGAGCAGGCCCTCCAGCAGCCCGGGGGCCTGTGGCTCAGCTTATTCCGGGGCTCTCATCCCAGTCCCTGTTTGACCGTGGGCTGCTCATGCCCTCGCAGCCTAACCTACCTCACAGGGTTGTTGGGGGGATAAAACGGAAGAGAGGGAAATGACGTAAGCTGCTTTGGGTCCCTGCTGCAGAGAAAGGAAGGGTATAAATAAAAATTAACACATTAAATTAAAAAAGCAAAATAAACTCACTTAGTTGTTGTTGATTGCATACAGGGAAGTCAGTTCACTAAATGAATATTCACAATCCCCATGCTCGGGTAGTTATGTATAATTATGTACACATGTGTGGCATCGCTCATTCCACTTGCGCAAGGCTGCCCTTTTGCATTTCCTTTGCATTTCCTTGGCCCAGCCCTTTTCTGTACTGAAAGGAAGCCTAAAAATGCCTTGCTGGAATGCTGCCGCCTTCTTTCCCTGCTCATCCCCCACCTCTTTCCATCTCCTTCAAGCTGAAGATTGTAAGATGCTTGGGGCAGGGACCCCGTTCTTTTGCTCTTTGTAAAGCTCCACGCACACGGATGGTGCGTACACAGAGTTAATGGCATATCTAGACAGAACCGACTTGTGGCTGTAGGTGGGGTTGCCAACCTCCAGGTAGTGGCTGGAGACCTCCCAGAATTACAGCTGGTCGCCAGAGAATAGAGATCAGTTCCCTTGGAGAACACGGCTGCTTTGGAAGATGGACTCTGTGGCATTGCATCCTGCTGCGTTCCATCCCCAGGCCCACCTCCAAAATCTCCTGGTATTTGCCAACCCAGCCCTGGAAACCCTAGTTAACCTCCCTGCATAGGCGCATTGTAGGCTCTTCTCTTGTGATGACTTTCCCACTTCTAATCCTGCCCTTCTTCTCTATTCAAGCCTGCTCCATCCAGTGAGGGGCATTTCCCAGACAGCAGGAGCCGCTTTATAGTGTCCGGTGAGTTATAGTGTCAGTGAGTCACGTTGCAGCCTGTCATCTTGCTGACTCACTAGTGTGTGTGTGTGTGGGGGGGGATAGAAAGTAAACATTTTAGATAACAGCTAAGATCTTGATAGCAGAAGCATCCATGGGTGGAAAATACCATTGGCCTTATGAAGTCAGGATTTCTTGGGTCCTCTGTTGCATACCCAAGATTATTTAAACTTGAGTGGTGTGGGCATTTTATAAAAGGGTATGTATGCCAAATTGCAGTAACTTGTAGGAGGGGAAAAAAATCAATAATTTCACTGTTTCCCCTTCCCAATATTTAATAAAGCCATTTCTGTCTTATCCTCAGTCTTCCTATTTTGTATTCCTATCCTTGATTAACGTTGGACTCTGTTCTCTAATTAACATTTTATTTTAAAAAATTCCCACACTATTTTTCTGCACCCATGGTGCATTTGTTAGATCATTTCAAACAGTTTCTTATTAGCTTTGTTGGAACAGCCCCCCCATGCCTAATGTGTGGCGTAGCCAGCAGTTTCCATGGTGTGTTCACACACACTCCCTGGGCACGCAGTTTTAGCCACAATTTTCTTACATTTTAGAACAGTTAACCATATGAGCATATGACTGTTTTCTCTGATTTATCATTCATTTAAGGAATTCATGTACACAAGATGTGGCAATCCTATCTTTTGTGAACTTTTAACAAGGAAGTTGAAAGATGTTGAAAGACGTTCTAGGACTAATCTGTCAAAGACTGTTAGCCAGGACAGCAAGAACTGGAACCTCCATGTTTAGAGGCGATGTGTCTCTGAGAGCCAGAGATCCTTACAACAAAGAAGAAGAGGTGGCTGTCACCTTAATATCCCGCTTGGAGCTTTGGTTTGTTAGGCTAGATGGCTTTCAATAATACAGTTCTCATGTGCTCATGCTTCTCATTGTGTTGATGCGGCACATTTTTAAAAAATGTTTCATCTTAAGCATTTTAAATATGTCATCTTAAGCAACACAGATAAGCACAGTCGCATACCTATCTGCCCAGATGTTCTACCACGTCTGTTCACATGTTTCAGTAGGTGTTGAAGGAGATTGTGGTCTAAGGTATGAGATGGCAAGACAGGAAGGCACAGAGCTGGTGTGGCATTGTACTAAGAGACCAGGCTGTGATCCTCATGGTTCTGTGTTCAAATTTCACCTCCTCCACAAACTCACTGGGAGGCGCTCTCCTCAGCCCTCCCCTATCTGCAATAATTTAAGGGTTATTGTAAGATTATGAGATAATATGAGAGTCCCTTGGACTGCAAGAAGATCAAATCAGTCACCTAAAAGAAATCAACCCTGACTGTTCCCTGGAAGGCCAGATAATGAAACTGAAGCTCAAATACTTTGGCCACCAAATGAGAAGGG